ATTACATACATACATACATACATACATACATACATACATACATACATACATACATACATACATACATACATACATACATACATACATACATACATACATACATACATACATACATACATACATACATACATACATACATACATACATACATACATACATACATACATACATACATACATACATACATACATACATACATACATACATACATACATACATACATACATACATACATACATACATACATACATACATACATACATACATACATACATACATACATACATACATACATACATACATACATACATACATACATACATACATACATACATACATACATACATACATACATACATACATACATACATACATACATACATACATACATACATACATACATACATACATACATACATACATACATACATACATGCATGCATGCATGCATGCATGCATACATACATACAAACATACATACATACATACATACACAATGTTGATCTGATAGTTTTGATTGAATGTATACACATGAGTCAAAACGATATTTGCTCTGCTATGCAATTCATTCCCTGGTTATTTGTTCGTAATATTCAATCAATCACTTGCCATCCTCGTTAAAATTATTGCTGGCAGATGAATTCATCATCAGTTTCATTATTCACGTGATTAATATGCAAATCGGACAGCAGTTTATTGCGTCTTACATATATAAGACGTTGTCATAAATATGTTGTTATTTTCATGTAGGTATAGGTTTTTATTTGGTTTGGGTGGCCGTGCAAGCTCGTTTGAACTCCTGTGTCTCCGTGCATTTTTGCTGAATAGAATTGAAATTTGAAATTGAGATGTTGATTTGCAATGGAAGAAGGCGATATGATAATAGTGAAAATGATGTTGATGATACTTACGTAATGATATCTATCCCGATGTCAATCACGATAATATTTTTAATCATCTTCCAATTTTACACCATTCATTAAAATTCATGATAATAGCACAAAAAGTGAATGCAGATGATACTTGATAGCATGCAACCTTGTAGGTCTATATATATATAATATCATACATGTGTGTGTCACGTAACAAATTATTTTTAAATTCCATGCACTAAATCAGGAATATGTTGAATTCACCTGTTTGCAAACGCAGGCATATTACACACACACACACACACACACACACACACACACACACACACACACACACACGCACGCACACATACACACACAAAACCACATGAAATCAAATGCTCCAACGATGATCTTGTTGAAAGTAAGCATACACTCGTCTACCGCATCAGCCATGAATTTGTTACGCAACCTGCCAACCACACGAAACAAACTTCTACAGCTCAATGGCACCAGCAGATCAAATACAAACAGATAATTACATCGCATACGCACATCCACGCTCCATCATAGCTCTCCCCCTCCTCCATATCTCTCCATCTCATCCATATCTCTCCCTCTCAACTCAACTATCATTTCCATCATCGTTGGAGCTCCAGGTTCCATTGTTGCCGACAACAACAGTTTCTCTCCTTGTTTGCCCTCTCTTGCGTTCAATGACTCTTCATTTAATTGCGCGATCAAGTTTGTGATGAAAAGTTGTGTGGATTGTGCCAAGCAAAATTTTTTCCTTTATTCAAAAAAAATGGTGAAACTTTTGACTGGAAGTAAATGAGTTAAATTTGTATTGAACTTCGTATTAAGCACTTAGAAGAAAGCTGTCAGCAGCTGAGAGTGGTGCACCAACGACTTACTCTCCTCATTATAATTTAGACACAAAAATCACAACTCAACTGAGTTTACGATACGAATGATAAGGTGTCGAGTGGTGCAGTTTTGTTTCATTGGTTTACATGGCGTTCGTGAAATTGAAAAAAAAAATCATTTATATGAGCAATCAATTTGGCTGGCTGGATGGAAGACAAGCAGTTGACAGCGTTGGAGCACAAAGAAGAAAATTTGAAACATTTTTCATGTTGGGATGAATTATTAAAGAGCGGATGGTCGTTCAATTTGTTTCAATTAAATGCTGCTCGGTTTTTCATTCCGGGAAATCATGGGAAATATGATGCTGGATGCAGTTGGACTGGATGGAGGAATGGAGATGTCTGCTTGCCTGTCTGCTTTCATTTCATTTCAACCCCTATCTGTCTGTCTGCTCCTGTTTATACGTTTGCACGATTGTTCTTCTTCTCCAATATGATATTAAATAAATATATATATATATATATATATATATATATATATATATACAATATTCTATAAATTCTACCAAATGTTTGGCGTTAATATGTTTGTAGTTCGTTTTTTCGATTTACGTCGGTTGGTCGCAGAACTTCGAGTAAATGTTGGTAATAGAACATAATTTTTACAATATTCTATCAATTCTACCGAATGTTTGGCGTTAACTACAAACATATTAACGCCAAACATTCGGTAGAATTTATAGAATATTGTAAAAATTATGGTCTATTACCAACATATATATATATATATATATATATATATATATACATTATCTATTTTTTCTTTAACTCATTTGAATATATGTATATGTATAAATATGTATATGTATATATATGTATATATATGCAGTAATTAATGAAATCTACCGAATTTCTACCGTTGGATAATTTTTTATTACATCTCTCAAAATTTCTAACCAATATCTTGCCTTCATTATTTATTTTAATGAAGTTAGAACAATATACAATTTTCCAATTCCAATTCATTCTCGAGTGTATTGGACCTCTTTCGATTCTTCAATCACCTTTAGCACTTGTTGCAGTTTATATAGAGAATTTGTGAACTCAGGCCTTTGTTCCTGTGATTTGCACCCATCGTTATCACTGACTTTGTTAATTTTACTGTCATCTTTATGAATTGATACGGTTTCTTTGTTTGGGCTTTGTTCGGAACACACATGCACACAACTGAAGAGAAATAATCGCACATACACACATGTACCCACACACACACACACACACACACACACAATACAACGTAACATACACACATGTACACACACACAATGCAACTTCACATACACACATGTACACACACACACAACACAACTTCACATACACACATGTACACACACACAACACAACTTCACATACACACATGTACACACACACACACAATACAACGTCACATACACACATGTACACACACAGTACAAGGTCACACACACACACATAGAAACAACTTCTTCGGAAATCACACACATGGAGCATGGAAACGGATACAAACAAGTCCGGATACACACTCATGTGCTGTTTGAACAGGCGTATCGATTCGTTTACCGGTTTCTAATTGTTCGCACGTATATGTTACATTCCTACATAAAAAATGACGGTGGGGGGTTCGGTGATGGGGCGGTTTGTGGTACGATGGCGTGATGGTATGATTGTTATGCTATGATTATTGAAATCCAGTGGCGATGCTGTATTTTGTTGTTTTGTTGTTGTGTTGTTGTGATGTTGTGTTGTTGTGTTGTTGTGATGTTGTGATGTTGTGATGTTGTATTGTTGTGTTGTTGTGATGTTGCGTTGTTGTAATGTTTTGTTGTGAAAATTAATTTCAATGTTGCAGGCAGCTGTGTTGTGTTGGAGAGTTGTTGCATTGATTAGTTTCAACGATGTTGAAGTATTGTACCGCGAGCACAAAAAGCTGTGATGTTGTCTGTTATGAATCTAACTTTCTCTCTCTTTCTCTCTCTCTCTCTTTCTCTCCCTCTTTATATACATATATATAATTTAATTTTGATAAATATTAATAATAATGATAGTTAATATAAAAGAGTTTAATGGAGTTGTAGTGATGGCGTTGCTGATGACTTGTTGCAAAAAGGTTTCAAAACCGACAGGAACTAGTTTCTGCTTTGTATTTAGATTTTCAACAATGAGTATAAATTTTTTTTTTATTTTTTAAAATTTTGTGAAGTTGTAAAAAATCTTCACGAAAGAAATCAGTTTGGAGGGGTCGAGAAATAGTTCGACCTTCATTATTGATTAGTAAATTGTTGATAGGATGAGTCGTGTAAACAAAAAGTTTCAATCCCCAACCACCCATCTGCAGTTGACTCAACATTCATTCTTTCATCAATCATATTTTCCATCCATCTATCAATTTTTCTCCCACTATCCCTGTTCATCAATTATGCTTTTCAACCAGCTCAATTCGTTGGATCAGCCTGCTTAGTACAGTCAGTCAACAACTGCTGAACAACAACTCAACAACAACTCAACAACAGCTCAACAACAACTCAACAGCAGTTCAACAGCTGCTGAACAACAGCTAAACAGCAACTCAACAACAACTCAACAACAGCTCAACAACAGCTCAACAACAACTCAACAGCAGCTCAACAACAGCTCACCCAAATGAGTGTTTCTTAAACATTCTGAATTCAATTGAATGTTTCAGGTTTTTAAGATTGATATTCTATTATACCTTGTTAAGAGTTCATTATTAATTTAAAATATTAACAAAAAAATTTTGTTTTTTAATGACAGATTAAAAAGTGTAGGACCACAAAAGTCAATGACTACAAGTTCCACTGCTGACGACAACCCACATCTTTGCGTCAATATATTCAGTTTAAAACACAACTCCATCATTAACAGTAACACTCAATGGCTATTTGAACGGCAATGGAATGCTTCCATTCAACAGCTCATTATTTGCCCATCCATCAAAGCAATCACGCATTGGCTGGAGAGCTCAACAGGCCGGCTGGATGGCAGTTTTAAAAGTTGCAAAAATTTGATTCAATAATTGGTTCCCTGCAAATGTTTAAAGTTTGCGTGCAGGTTTTGTGAGATTTTGTTCAAGTTTATTTTGTGATTGCTCGTGTTTGTGTCTTTTATCTGTGGGAGTTAAATTTTTGTGTGTTGCAATTTGCAGCAGTTCATCACGTTGATGTGCCCTGAGATGAATCTTTCAATTAGCCTGTTTCAATTTTTTCGTCGGCAAATGAATCATTTAAAATTGTTGAAGAAATACAGATAATGGTTCCATGCAACGAAACCCCACGATCTGAAATTTCGTCCAAATGTCATGCAGGCAAGTCAAACGAATCACGAATTTTAAAATTAAATTAATTTCCATCGATTGTAGTCTCCCAACAAAAAATCAACCAGCAAAAATTTTTGGTCCTGATCAAATTTAAAAAACCTTCCAATGAATATTTCAAAATCGAATACAGAATTTAAAAAATATTTTTTAAATAATATTTTCCTTAGCCAGTAAGAGTAAACTTCCAAATCCGAAAAAATTTATTACGGTAGTGAACAAATTGCTCCTCAAGTAGAGAGAGACATTTCCAAGAGATGATTCTGATCTTAAATATTGTTTTTATAAGAGAACATTCATCTTCACGCATCTCCTTCTATTAAACTTTTTCATAATTCGTCCTCATTCATCTGCAGTGAATCATTTGATTCCACGATCGACTGAAAAGGGTAGAACGAGTGCATGCTGACGCCGAGGCAGTCATCCTTGGAATATTTAATTTTTTTTGAAGGATCATTAATCAAAGTATAGTAATGTTTAATTAATTTTTGTCTGCATTTATTATTTTGAATCTTCTCCTCATCAATCAGTCTCAGTGCACATGCGAGCAAATGTTGGACGAATTAAAGAGTTGAGGCTTCTTTTAGAAATAAACCTCATACACGCGTGTGCCCGCCCTGCCAGAAGTGGAGATGGTATATTGCTTACATGTGTTCTTGGATGTTATATATATATATAGAAAAGAAGGATTCACAATTTTAAGTGGTATGTATTTTTAACAAATTTTATAGAGCATCATCACATGTGTTATTTGCGGGGTGTGACCATTCAGTAGCGTTGTCGGTTCCGTATGTTTAATTGTAACTGTTTGTGTACGTGTCATTGTGTGTATGTGTGCGTGTGTGTTGAGTATGTGTGTGTGTGTGTGTGTGTGCAAACATGCTTTTTATGTGTGTCGGGTGAACAGTTTTATAAGTGCCGTAAAAGTCGGGTATAAATGTAGAAGGTAACTTTTAGACATGATATCTGGTGATTAAAACAATAATTGATTTTATATTTAATACGATTTTGATGAAGAAGATGATGATTAGTAGTTATGAAATGATTATGGTGATGACATTGCTGATGGTGATGGTGATGATGATGAATTAGTGACTGGTGATGATGATGGGGACTGAGTGGTGTCTGGTGTCTCGTGTACATCTAACTGATGGTGTTGGTGGAGGCACGCTGAGTCGAGCTTCAGTGCTTCCAAGAGTAAATGTGTTTGTTTGTGTGTGCGCGTGTGTTTGTGTGTGTGTGTGTTTGTTTGTGTGTGTGTGTGTGATGAAGTGATGAAATTTTAGGTTAGTGAGTGAGTGCGTGAAGTGAGTGCATGAGGAGTGAGTGAGTGAATGAATGAGTGAATGAGTGAGTGAATGAGTGAGTGAGTGAAAGAGTGAGTGAGTGAGTGAGTGAGTGAGTGAGTGAGTGAGTGAGTGAGTGAGTGAGTGAGTGAGTGAGTGAGTGAGTGAGTGAGTGAGTGAGTGAGTGAGTGAGTGAGTAAACTGAAAAAGAAAACTTAAGCAGAAAATAGTTCTATGTGTAAATAAATTTTAAGAGGTGAATAAATAATAGCTCCTTATTGATTGAATGAAAGTAACGTTTGAAAAACAAAAGAGATATTGATTTGGTGAACAAACGAACAAACGAGCGAACAAACGAACAAACAAACAATTGAATGAGTTGAAAAACAATTGATTGAATGAAAAATAAAGTTAAGAACAAATATTTAAAGAGTGAATATAAAAAGTTAAATTTGAAAAATTTTGAAGTTGTACAGGGTCAATTTAAAAAAAATTTTTGAGTTAGAAAAAATTACTAAAAATTTAATAATTAATTAACTAATTGGATAATTAAATGCATAAATTAATAGATGAATGAATGAGTTAATGAATGAATGACGTACAAATGAAAGAAGGAACAAAAGAATGAATGAATGAAAGAAGGAACGAGGAAATGAATAAATGAATGAACGAACAAAACGAAGGAACAAAAAAACGAATGAATGAATGAATTGATTGATTGATAGGTTCTACTTAAACGAAGACCACACTCGACACACCACTCAATCAATCATACACCCTTCCCACATAACTACCATTACAAGAAAACTCATGAGCTGATGTGTGTGTGTGTATGCGTGTGTGTGCACGTGTGTGTGTATGTGTGTGTGTTTGTGTGTGTGTATGTGTGTGTGTGTGTGTGTGGTCTTAAAGTATGATGAGTGTTTATTATGTGCTTACTGAAAATTATTCATTTAACTTTTCATATTATTGTATATAATGCATATATATTGTATGAGGATAGATTGGTTTCAAAGCCAGCCATGAAACATTGAATATTGAATATAAGCAAACGCATGCTGAAATATTCAAATTTTTCTTCAGTTCAGCGAGCAAATTCTGCTATTGCAAAACTTTTAAAATCTTTCGATACACAAAACGAAACGAAACGTGACCACCGATACTGCTTTCTACATGGAACTACGCGCTGTGATCTTGTCGGTAATACGAACATTTCTTTGGTAACAGTGTGAATACAATTAGCAAATAAAAAATTTACAGAAATTACACTTTGGAAGAAGTGACCCCTGAGGACAAAATGTTGAGAAGTGTGTTGGACAGTGATGGACGTTAAAAACTTTGAAAAGAGAGCAATATATAACGCAGGCATTTTTTTGTAATTTATTTTTAATATAATATTTCGGTATTTTCACTTTTTCAATGACCACAACAACAACAACAACACAACAACAACAACAACAACAACACAACAACAACAACAACAACAACAACACAACAACAACAACACAACAA